CCCGACACCAGTCAAGTTAGGTCCGAACCCCGAGTCCCGGGTGCCGGGTACCGAGTCCCGACACCCGGAACTCAGGATTTGACATTTTAGACGAACGACATCTTCCAGACATGTTTAAATCAACCTATGTATATCTGTAAACATTTTACTAACCCCCAAACCCCAAACCGAGATGTACCAACCCCCGAACCCCGAAACCCGAGAGTGCCGGGTCTCGGGTATCGGGTGTCCGGAACTCGGAACTTGGGAGAATTTGGGGAGATCAACACAATTTAATTTACAATCGAGTTGATTGACAACACATTGACTTACCCATGTTTGCAATATATTTTTGTTTAGACATACTGAGTTCCGAGTTCCGGACACCGGAGACCCGAGACTGCCGGGTCTCGGGTGTCCGGAACTCGGAACTGGGGAAAATTTGGGGAGATCAATACAATTTGATTCACAATCAAGTTGATTGACAACACATTGAATTAACTATGTTTGCAATATATTTTTGTTTAGACATACCGAGTTCTGAGTTCCGGACACCCAAGACCCGAGACCCGGCAGTCTCGGGTCTCGGAACTCGGTATGTCTAAACAAAAATATATTGCAAACATAGTTAATTCAATGTGTTGTCAATCAACTTGATTGTGAATCAAATTGTATTGATCTCCCCAAATTTTCCCCAGTTCCGAGTTCCGGACACCCGAGACCCGGCAGTCTCGGGTCTCGGGTCTCCGGTGTCCGGAACTCGGAACTCGGTATGTCTAAACAAAAATATATTGCAAACATGGGTAAGTCAATGTGTTGTCAATCAACTCGATTGTAAATTAAATGGTATTGATCTCCCCAAATTCTCCCAAGTTCCGAGTTCCGGACACCCGATACCCGAGACCCAGCACTCTCGGGGTTCGGGGGTTGGTGTTACAGTCACTACGTGAGCCCCCAGCTACACGACCAGCCCTCTGCCACCTCGCACGGCAACGACACGATACCCGGGCCTTTAGGCCTTGATGATAGATGACGAATAGAAGAGAAGCCCGGAAGATGCCGGCTTAGATAAGCGGTCTGGACCGCTATGACGAACATATGACGACATAGGTCTAGAAGACCTATTTATGTTATCAAGATAGAAGGCAAGCCTCGTGTTGCCTCATGTACTGATAGAAGGACGCCTCGCGGTCCTTATCCTAGATAGAAGCCTGCCTCATGCATGGTATCTCTGACTCGATAGATAAGCACTTAGAACCCAGCTTCAAGCTGAGCTTAGATACGATAGAGTAGCCTTATATAAGGTCAATAGATTAAAGTAGATGTTCCTTACTTTAATCCTACTGGGTTTTGCCTCGAAACCTTTGTCTTGCTAAAGCTACCTGCTCGACATCAGATCCGTACCTTCAGAAGGACTTGAGACCCCTTCTGCCTGTAACCGCTATCATCGCTTGCCTCCGCAAAGCGTACGCAACTTCCGCTCTTCTGTGGAAGCCGACCTCGGACTCTCAGCACGAGATATCACTGTTGTGATCGTCGCTGTTAGATCATCCCAGTCCGCACGCGACACACGTCGTAACAGTTGGTACATCTCGGTTTGGGGTTTGGCACTGAAAATTTGACATATATATTTTTGTGAGTGTTGTGCTTCTGGTGTCCATGCTTAGAAATAGGATTTGTTGCACACCAGGGTTCAGGTGTGGGGTTTTTCCACTTCAGTCCTGGATTATTGGTCAATGCCACACATGATAGATTCATGTTTTTGTGCTTAGGGGTTTAGATTTGGTGGTTGATGGTAGGTATATGCACTGATAGTGTACATGTATCCTATGTGTTTGATTCGCTGGTGGCTACATCAGCTGTATGTCTTGATGGAACATATCTAGGCTCACCCATATATGTAATACACCCCCGTCGGCCCGCCCGTCTATGTATTATCCCCCACGTCGGCCGACCCATCTATGTGATACATCCTATGTTGGCCCACCCATCTATATAATACATCCTACATCGGCCCACCCGTCTATATAATTATACCCCACCTCGGCCCACCTGTCTATGTAATAAATATTTTATAGCACCCTCGGCCCACCGGTCTATTTGATATCCCTTTCGTCGGCCCACCCGTATATGTAATACATTCCACGTCGGCCCACCTGTATATGTAATACACCCTACGTCAGCCCACCCGTCTATGTAATATTCCCCTATCTCGGCCCACCCATATATGTAATACACCCACGTCGGCCCGCCCGTCTATGTAACAATATTTGCCTTACATCTCTCTTCAGCCCAGCTGTCTATAATATCCTACTCTACATATTACCCAGATGGGCCCACCCATCTCCATGAATGATCATATTCCCCCGGCCCATCCGTCAACATTAAGGATATATATATCATTGGCATACATGGGCCCACCCGTCTCCATCGGAAATAATATGAGTCCCGGCCCATCCGTCATCATCGAGAATATACACAACATGGGCCCATGATCAGCTGGCCCGTCTCATACGGGATATTATGGAGGTCGGGTGGCCCATATAATACGGAATTTGTCACTGAAGGGGCTCCTGGTTGTGTCGAATCCGCAGATACAGGCATAGAAAATTCCCATATTTTGTGATCCAACTCCAGGATAGTTTGGTAGTTAGGTGGCTTTACAGCCTGAGTGGCTTCAACGACCGGGGCTAGACATTCCATTGTGTAATAAGAATTCCAGCTGCCAACTTGCGGTACATTAGAACTCTTTCCCATGCGATGGCGAAACAACCTTACATGCAGTGGGAATTTCTCCCAACCGGTACGTAGCCTCCTCAAAGTCACTCAGAATCTTGCAGTCGACGATGGCTGGCATAATCACAGGGGGGCGTCCAGTAATCAGGCTTTGCCAGAGAGATTGAGATTGAGAGCCCAGAAATATGAACGGTGTTCATAGGCTTCTCTCCCCTTAAAACCCCATCGTGAAGGATCCTTATCTGCATGGTAACATTAGCCACGTATCAATGGTTGCCTTGCGACATAACATACGGAACCCAATCTAATGATGCTCGTTAGAGGTCTGTCTGATGATTGTGACACCTGTATCTCGAAACGAACCTGGAGTGCGGCTTGACTAGCAAGGTTGAGACAGGAGTAACAAAGCTCTGTGTTGCTCTCGATGCCACTCATGCCGTAGTACATACTCATAAGATGCAATGACTTAATTGTAGCCATAGACTGCTCCGTGAATACAGATTGCAAACACAAGGCAGCGCGCGCCACTCTTTGATAGTGATGAGCTTTGGCATTATACGGGGGAAGGGTGGGATCAACCAAAGCTCCGAGCGCTAGTGTACTGAATAGCAAGGCCAGGTCGTGTGAACCATAAGGTGGCGGCTCCAATGAATGTAGCTCCGTTCGGTATATCAACGGGATGAGATGGCCAATGATGTGCTGTCACAAAATTATAGGAAACACCCATGAGAGAGACTGTAGGAAAGTTTCACATAATGAAATAGCGCGCTGCATTCCTGGTAGGTAGGAGGTCATTATCTCAAGAAAGTGTCGGAAGTGTTTTTTGGGGATCCCCGAGGGAGTGAAAGGGAAAACCCGATCGAGGTTGCTGATCCGAGGGTCCAGGTAATCGACCTCGATTTCATGTGTCTCGGTCGATGGTGACGAAGTATCAGGGTCACACTGTGTGGTCATTGTTGGCTATGCACTCTGGAAAGGTGAATAACACAAACCAGCAATAAAGTCTAAGGCCCAAGTAAGTGCCTCCGCGTGTCATGGGCAAAATGTCTAGTCCGCACCTCAGAACCTCCGGAAGGTCCGAAGAAACAAGCAGCATCGGTTTGTGGATTGCCATCAAGGTGCAAGGAGCCTAGGGTATTTATCAGACTATGTGCCGACGTAGATGTGGCGTCGACACTGCTCCCGCTATCAGCCTCTTCAGTTGTCCATATTTTGGTCAGCAATGGGTGTGGCTGAGTGGAAGTATTGACCTGCAGGATTGCAAGAGCGTCTTCGAGTGAGCGCATTCGCTCTTCGAGCTTGGCGGCCTTTTGACGTAGATATTCTTCGGCAACACTGACGAAGAGCTGACGGAGTAAATGCCATCTTCAGATTTTGATGCACTTGTGCATGCGGCAGCACCATGCTTACCGGCTACCCTTTCCTGGAGGCATAGTGCCTACAATGCATCATCCGTATGGAAGGTTTGTATGTTCCATGTCATGAATGAATTCTTACCATTGAGGCAAAGCATGCTGCATCCTCTTTTGATGCAAGTAGAACATGGCACTATATGGGAACGATCAGTCCGATGTCCAGGACTACTTTAAAGTGAAAGATTTACCTTGCCTGTCACATTGGGCTTTCAGTCTGATGGGTGATCATGAAAAGTGAATAACATGACAAAGAGATGAATGTGATGAAAAACCGACCTACGACACTCTGCGCAAGCTATCTCTCCTCTTGTTCGTTGTCTTTCTTTGCTGCTCATCACAGACTTGAATTGAAACCAGTACTGGCAGCGTCGGAGTTTTCACTAGCATTAGCACCCTATATTTGAATGTCGCGGTTTAAATGAGATATCAGATGTGCAAGGCGTCAGGGATGAAATAGAACACTGTCTCTGGGACATACTGTAGACAAATATAGTGGTCATATCAGTATGGTCAATGACCATGAAGCCACAACTGCCATCCACTTTCATGACGAAGAAGGCAACCATTCCTGTGATGGCGGTGATCAAATTATAGTATTGCTTCAGACAACTCACTCCGTAACAGGATGATCCAGTGGCCAACCGTGGCTAAGACCAGAAATATACGGATACATCTGAATGTCTCCAGAACTATAAATCTGTGCATGTTGAGGAAGAGCTTCGAGAATCGAAATCACCACTAAAGCTCATGGTTGTAACATTAAGTTCAAAGATGAACAACCAATGGATGCATTCGCTGCAAACCGTCACAAACAATTGAGACGATGAACCAGTGATACATCATAGCACACTCACAGAAAAGGCCAAAAAAGTGCCTGTCGTGATGAACCTGAGCACGCGTCCAGTAGATTAAAATGCAACAAAGGATTCACTGTGGCAATCCACACTTGGAGATGTTGGGCTGCCGAGCCAGTAACTAATGTTCATGAGAGTCTGCTGTGACAGTCGATGAATAAGATACGCACATTAAAGCCATGGACGACAGAAGAAGAATACGACCGGTGTTGTACGGTAGCTAATGAGATTGGCACTTCTGTCACAATGGACAAGTATACAAACTGCTGCTTACTAGAGGCCATCTAGTTGCTATGCGTTTGCCAATCAACCATGATCCTGCGTACACCCACCTACAAGTTGGCCATGAGCAGGAGCTCTTGAACATGAGAAGTAACACGTGTACATACTTCTGTAAATTGCCGCTAGCCACTTGTCCGTCGCTTCGTCCCGGAGAGGCGAGAAGGGGAGCTGGTTCCAGAAGAGATGGGGGATAAGTAAAAAGGAAAGGGCTACCACTGACATAACTATGTCTAATTTCCGTTGGTTGGAATATCGGCAGACGCTCATTCAGTAGATCTGAGCGGCGACTATGCAAATATAGCAGATGAGAAAATGTCCGCGACGCGAGAATTGGCAATTGTACTTACGCGTCGGCAAAGTTGCGAATATGGTGCCTCATTTGTGTCCCTTGCGCTGTGAGTAAATCTGACCTGACATGGCCCAGACCAGCGATGGACTCCTCTCCTGCAACCGCAGCCAATTCTGACGTGTTCTCGGCCTGTTCGCTGCAGCCAGCCGAGTGAGTATTCCGCACTAAATCAAATTGTGGAAATCACGGAGCGAAGAAGTTGGAAGACCCGTTGCATCTTTCCAACCGCAAGAATCTTGTTCTTAATCGCCTGCCTACGTGCTGCAACTTCGGAAGGCGGTAAGGCAAGGTCCGTCACGGCCCTGCTGGCTTCATCTCCCCCTTCGATGGAGACTTCGGTGTCTTCTAGCTCTTCTGGGCTGCACGTTGCTAGGGACTTCCTTGCGCAAGTCATGACGAACAGCGCAAGCATCGACGAGGATAATGACGTCTCGTTAAGCATCCTCCACGAGCTTCATAATCTCGTCGATAACATAGCTCTTGACGTCTGGGTTATTGGAGGGAGGGGTCTGCGGAAGTTCGACCCTCAAGCGCTTGGCAGAGATCTTTTCGGTGGTGAGGTCCATCGGAAGGGTAAGGTAGACGGGGCAAGCCTGAAGGACGTTTACTGCTTGAACAGGGGAAGGCAAATTATCAGTACTTACCTGAATGATAGCCTCCACGAGGATTCGATCGATTTCGGCCGCAGCGTGTGCTTTGTTCATAATAATGGCCTGAGCAGCGGTTATCTGTTCCGCAACTTTCGTATATACGTTGAATCTGGAAGACATGAGACACCGGATCAACATGAAAAGAAGTATATACCTTTCATCGTGTAGTGCTAGGCAGAGTCTGGGGGACATGTCTGGGTGTTCGTCCCTCTTCTTCCACACGTTCAGTTCTTTCTCTGTGTACCACAATGAGTTACAGAATAAATGTGAAGTAAATAAATACCATTCTTTGGGTGCTCGCTGATCGCACCTTTGAGCGCTGCAATGGCCAAATTATCAACCTCATCTGGGGTCGGATACAGGGACGACAGAAACAGAGACGAATTCATGGATTTCGAGGCGTTCTGCTTCACACTATCAATTAGAGCAGATTCGACCTGCAATGTCGAGGTCCTTCGAGTGGAATGCGACGATGCCGAGGGAAGAGGCGTGCTAGATCTGATGAAAGGTACTCCCTTGTAAGAGCGAGCGATTTTCCGGTACGATAATCTTTTCTGGCCCATTTTCGCGAGATGATCTTCAGAATAAAGGGAATCGGGGTCATACGAGCGATAGGCGCCCAAAGCCGATGAGCTTGGTTGATATGGATCCGCTTGACTCATACTTGGGTTAAGAAGAGTCGGATTAAGGTCGGTTGGGAAGAGAGCTGGTCCTTGGGGTGCGGACTGTGGTGCGGACTCATCGTGAATATCCCGGCTGTTAAAGGAAATCGGATCAAGAGCCTGAGAGCTTGGGAAAAGAGGTATTTCCTGGGGGGCATTCTGCGCTAGGTCAAGAAAACCATGATGCAAGCGGCTGGCAGCTGCATCAGGCTCCTGAGACGCACTGCCTGTAGAAACCTGCAATTGCGACCCCAAAGTTGGGTAGTTAGGGTAGGCAGCCGCATTTGGCGCTGACCCAATATCGAAAGTCTCATGCTGGTGCTGACTACCAGCGGCTGCATGCTGTGGATTGCGAGAGCCGTAGGTAAAATCCGCTTGTCTTGTACTCAGGTCAAAAAAGGCCGGATTGGGGGAGGTTTGGAAAAGAGGTTGATCGTTGGGGCCAGTCTGCGCTAGCTCGAAAGGGTTATGATGCAAGCGGTTGGCAACAGCGCGCTGAAACGCGCTGCCCATAGAAACTTGTAAGCACATAATTCAGTACTTTATTTCCGACTTAGACGGACAGCCAAAGGTTGAGAATCTCCCCAGTTAGACGGGCCATCCTAGGTCGGCCCATACGCAGATAGGGCGGGCGGGCCAGCCATGAAGGCAATCCTCGGTGGTGACGGGTGGGCCAACATCATGCAGTATTATTTGTAGGCTGGGGTAATGGTCAATAGACCGGTGGGCCAGCCATGGAAGGACCGGAGATAGGGCGGGCGGGCCAGCATGAAGGCAATCCTCGGTAGTGACGGTGTAGAAACAACAATACAATGAGGAACAAAAGAAGCTCCTGACTGTATCTGTAAAAGTTGTAAGGTCGCGCGTTGCCTAGTCTGCGTTGCTTGAGGAGACAAGTGCGTTCGACCCTATAGGGGAAGTGAGTGCAGCAAGGATCTAGAAGTGTGCGCTTAAGCGAAGCGCGAGAAAGCGCAGGAGCGCGCAAGGTACAAAGGCGCGGGAACGCGCGCGCGTATTAGCGCGAAGCGCGGGAAAGTGCGCGCGCGTATGCGGAAATGAGAAACTAAGCTTAAGTAGTGATATAAAGCAAGATAAGAGATATAAGAGTGCAAAATGTAAAGGAATAGCTTTCTACTATATTCTGCTAAGTAGTAAGTGGGTAGTAACTAGTAAGTGAAAAGTAGGAAAAGTCGGTCCAGTGTAGTATGTACTGCTAGCGCTTATATAGCGCGCCTAAGCGCGCTCATGCGGAGCCGAAGCGCTACCGAGTAGGTATGTAAAAATATATATGAGTGAGAAACTATGATAAAAATAAAGGTGGAACTATGCTAATAAAGGAAATGGAAATATACATACTAGGGAGCTTGGTGGACAGTGGATGGATGCATCTGGATGGCTGGCGCTATAGGGCGCGCAAGCGCGGGAACGCGCGCGCGCGTATACATCGTGAAGCGCGGGAATGGTGCGCGCATGGCGCGCGTTGCGTGGGAAAGCTGCGCCTCATATAGAGATAGCTGCGGGTAGCGCACAGAGTAATGCTATGAGTTCGTGCTGTATACTCCTTGGTGAAAACTACCATATCACGCCATGAGAGGCATGATTCTCTACAACGGGTGGGCCAACATCATACAGTATAATTATGAATTATTTGTAGGCCGGGGTAATAGTCAATAGACCAGTGGGCCAGCCATGGAAGGACCGGAGATAGGGCGGGCGGGCCAGCCATGAAGGCAATCCTCGGTAGTGACGGGCGGGCCAACATCATACAGTATAATGATGAATTATTTGTAGGCCGGGGTAATAGTCAATAGACCAGTGGGCCAGCCATGGAAGGACCGGAGATAGGGCGGGCGGGCCAGCCATGAAGGCAATCCTCGGTAGTGACGGGTGGGCCAACATCATACAGTATAATGATGAATTATTTGTAGGCCGGGGTAATAGTCAATAGACCAGTGGGCCAGCCATGGAAGGACCGGGAGGGATACAGAAGAAGCATGCATTAATATATTGGGCCAGGATGTGTGCTGCTGGGGTACCGGCTGGGCCCAAAAGTATTTTTGGACAGGGAATGACAGCCCCTTATACCCGGTACAGGCGGATGGGCCCAGATATGGACCCAACCATTCCAAGGTCCTCATCAATGATGGTTGGGCCGACGTACCCGAGACCAGCGGATGGGCAGGCAGTTGTACCCGGTATTGGCAGATGGGCCCAGATGTGAACATGACCATACCCAAGGGTCCTCACAAACTTTGATTCCGAGACTGGCTGACAGGCACATCCTCCGTTAATTATGGGTAGGCTGGCACCTGAGCCCGGCGGACGGCACCAGACCAATGCTGTGAATACCGGATTCGCATAGGTATGGTGTCCCAGACATATTGCACATCTGAACAGTTGCATTCCCTTGTGTGTGCAATCATGTCGGTCGCACATCCGGTCCTTGATGGCGGATCTTCCGGATACATACATCAATGCCAGTTTGGATGCTCCGGCCGACACAACATCGCTTTGTATTGACTTGCATGCGCAGTCGGTTGGTTGAGCTACCGAATTTATACCCCAACAGAGATCCGGTATCATTCGGACACGACTCAGATCAACTTATCCGATATGGTAAATAAGATGCGATCGAATCGGTCCGCCGAACGGGAGTGGCGGGAGTGGCTGGAGTGTCTGCGCCCCGAGCAGCCGGTGCAGATTACTGATCCCAACTTCCACACCGACACTGGTGGTTGGGCTGAGGTGTGAGGTCCATAGAGATGAGCGGGCCCAAAATGTGTGACCGGGTGGGCCTGCATGCTCGAGGGTGAGAATGGGCCAGGCGGATTTGTGAAAATTGTGACGGATGGGCCCAGCTAGCATGTATGCATATATGGGTGGGCCCGGCTTGTAGGCATGCTCGGGAAAAGGGCAACGGATGGGCCCAAAATGTGCGAGGATAGGCCCAGCGGATTGCATGTAATCTTGAAAATCATGACAGATGGGCCCACCGTGGATTTGATCTCAGAAAAGGCAAATTGGCCCAGTGCATATGCAGATGTGGTCTCGGAAACAGTGACGG